ATATTTATTGCATAACCTGCTATAGCACCCCAAAATTCACCACCAGCTATCATTTTGTTTTTCAGCTTTTTTGAAATACAAGGTTTATTAATTTAAATATCAGTATCTCTTACAGGAATGTTATAATAGTCGGAAAATAAGGGGCATGGTGTCTGAGGACTGGAGCTAAGTGACATAAAGGAAAAGCCACATTTGTTTAAAAGAAAGCAAAATGTTGAAGATAAACCTCACACACCTACCTGAGGCTTGGTGCTAAATAAAAGTGGAATGAATATTGCAAGTGTGGTAATCCACATGGATTTTATATCTAGGCATCTTAAACCTGACTTTTCAATTCCCACTGGGATGAGAACAAAGCTATTTCATTCTCCTGGAAGTCCTTCCACCTCTCCTCTGTCCCTCTCAGAATCATTCCTTCATGCTGCAGGGTGAAGCAGAGACAGAGGAGGAGTATTCACCACTCTCAATTCAGGGCTCAAATAATTATTCAAAGTAGTTCCACATATTGTGTGCCTGATCTAAGCATTTTCTTTACACGTTATGTTTCCTTCAGTCCCTACAGCAATCCTGTGTGGTAAGCAACACTTTCATTTTCCCCATGAGAGAAGTGAGACAGGCTAACCCTGTGAAAGTTGCAGATACTATGATGAAATCACTTTTTTGTCAGGCCCAAACACATTAAAGCAAAAAGCCAAAAGGAGGAGTTCATGCTGGCAAGGCTGAGATAAAGACTGCCTCAAGGACTTGCTAAAATAACCCCACAAGAAATTCTTTCTTTAGGACTACTGCAATTCAGATAAGATGTTCTCAAAATAACACCGGTTCAGTAATGGCCTCTGCAGCCGTTACTGGACAGGTATGTCCGGCAATGTAATTAAATTGTCATTTAATTATAGTGGCAATTAATTGATGCCAAATCTGGCTCTGAGCGTCCGAAACCAATAAACTCTGTTTCCAAGCAGCTTACATGAACTTGCCCCTGTGCCAGTAAAACTTCCCTTTACACTTCCTGCTGCAGATGTATATGTGGCTTGCCTTAACTGTGTGGCTTGGGTCATTATCTTCATTTCTACTTCCCAGATACATCCAACATATTTGAATGTATTTTTCTTTCTTGTTGTTTTCCGGGGTGAACAACCCATTGATTTTCTGAAGGTTGCACAGCTAATAAGTGGTGGCATTGAGGTTGAAACCATGATAGCTTGTCCACCAAAGTCCATGTCTTTTCATATTGAGTTCCAGGAAATCACCATGATCAACAGTTTTCCCTGATTGGAAGATCATGCTTCAGTTGGTGATCTGAAGTATGTCTTAACCTTGCTATTCTTGCCACTTTCATCTTCCACCCTCCAAAATCCAAGTTAGGCTTCTTATTGGGCCAGGTTGGTTTGCTCTCTGATTTATTCTGTATTTGTATTTATTGCTTTATTATGAGAAGAGGTTGAAAAAAAAAAATCACGATCATAGCCATCCTTGGAGGAAAAAAAAAAAAAAAAAAGCTTAAGTGTTAAAATTCTGTGAGCATTCAAAGGTATTTTTGACATATGAGAAGAAGTCTTTTTGACATAGAAGAAAACTGTCTAGACACTGAAGTCTTTACAAGAAATTATGAAGAATGGGAGGAAAAAGATGTTTTACAGAAATAAATGAAAAATCTGACTGGCTATGCATTAAGAATGGTAATGCAATACTAATAGGCCCTGCTGTACAAAGTCATTTTTAAGTCAGCTGCTTTGTTTAATGTTCAAATTTCCATTTAAATCAATAGCACTTTGCTTTCTTCAGTAGAAGGCATTTGCATTCCAGTAAAACACACACACACACACACACACACACACACACACACACAATGGGGATAGAAATGAGTCAGCCACTTCCTATCTAACATTCAAATCCACTTTTCTGAAAACATAATTCAAGCAGTCCAACAATAATTTAATTGGCTGTTCTGTAAATTACAGGGCTGACCACCATATAAACACCAGAGAAATGTACACGAGTATTAGTCATTAGCTGTCATTTTTCTGATAATCTGAACTTTCCATGTGTATAATCATGAAACACTATATTACACAAGGTAATGAAAAAGTCTGTTTTCTATGCAAACTTCAACTTCTGTCATTTTAATGCACAATATATATCGTAAGTTTATGACTCATGGTTAGCACAAGGTATCTGAAATACAACAATGTATCTAATAGGAGTGCTGATGATAACCTCTGATGAAGGGATGGAACCCTGATATAATAAGTCTATTTGATAAACGGTTAAATGGTGGCAACAAGGGGATCAATATGCATTAGAGGGGGATATGTGGACTGCTGCAGGGCTCTCTTTTAGCTGTGTTTTGTTTCATATGTTTGTTATGGATCAGATAAAAATAACAAAATAGGTTTATCTTATCTGTGATGGCACACAATTGAGATAGTTGAAAATAGAGTGAATAACAGAATCAGGATACAAAATATAACATGCCTATGTAACAGTCTGTCTCCAACAATAGGCAATTCAATTGGGATGACAGTACTGTATTGTTTTTGATATAAACTAATTTAAGACATCAATATGGGGAATACATGGTGAATAATATGGAAAGCTGTACCTGTAAAATACTTGGACATTTTGATTTTAGAGTCATCTCACTGTTTGTCAACAATGTGTAATGCTGCCACAAAAAGCTGCTAAGATTTTGGGTTGCATTAATAGAATTAAAGTATCTGGGTTGAAGGAGGTTTCAGGCATAATTGAAGTCTCCAAAAGTTTCTGATCAGAACACATCTTAACCATTAGGTTCATTTTGAATGATGGACTTCTAGAATGATATAGGCAAAGTGGAGCTTATTAGAAGATCAAGAATGAAGGCAAAATAACTAAATAACAGGTATAATTGACATCAAGATATTTCAACCTGGAAAAAGAAAATTTAGTATGAGACAAAGACCTAATAGATATCTTGAAATATTTAGATATCAGTCATTTAAAAATTCACAAATGGCAACAAGATGTAGAATAAGAATCTATGAGTACAAATTCCTTTTTTCGTTTTAGAAATTTTTTTAGAGACTGGGTCTCACTATGTTGCCCAGGCTGGCAGTGGCTATTCACAGGCATGATCATAGTGCAGTATAGCCTCCAACTCCTGGGCTCAAGCCATCCTCCTACCTCAGCCTCCCAAGTAGCTGAGACTACAGGCATGTACTACTATGCCCTCAGCAAATCTTTTTACTCTCAATAATTACATGTTCCATTCCACTGAAATTTGAAGAATTATACATTTCAGAGCAATTGTATCATTATATTTAAGATCTTCAAAACATTTCCTTTGCTCATTCATCTTTCTTATAACCGAAGCGTTTTAAAATGCTCACAACATGCCATATGTTACTACTGTCTCATGTTGTCTTAAAATACTTATTTCTAGCTCTTAGGGACCAGTAAACCAAATAAAATACGTGCATTTAGCTTTCTCTTTTCTTTTATCATAAGCAGGGCCTTCCAAAGGTATTTACTGGTTATAAATGAGAACCTACATGACTTGTGATAATACCCTGATATCCTCTTGAAACAATTACTGTGCTTTCTCAAGGCATTAACTTATGACCACAAATGATTATCATTAAATGAGTATCTTGGGGGGACTTGACAGTATAAGGCTTTATGCAAAAATGTATAATAGGACTAACTTCCCTAAATGTCAGGATCCCACATTCTTTTGATATTTGAGAATTAAATATAATGAACATCATGAGCCCTTGAGACTTTCAGTTTAAGATTTTCCTTTAAAAATAAATACTATTATTCTCTGAGGACATGAGAACAGTATTACTTTATTTAGTTTAAGCGAACCTAAAATAGAGCAGAGGAAATCATTAAATGAGTGAACATATATTTTTCCTTGTTGCCCATTCATGCCAAAACTTATGTGTCTTGAAAGTACAAAATCACTTACAATGGGGAAAATATCTTTAAAGTGATTAAACTTATCTTCAGAGAGAGATGCCTAGTAGTCTCAATAATTACCCTGGAATAAACTATAATGCTGATGATTGTATTCTGTACTGCAGTCTTATGAACAAGCAAACACGGTGTTTTATAGCTGCATGAGGAAGGAAGTTTACTGAAAGTAGCTATTAATGTGTCCATTTATATCCTGCCTCCCTGAATAGGCTCCAAATCTAGAGCAAATACAGAGCGGGAAATTTCACTCCCAATTTAGCCCTCTCTCCAAACTCCAGAGGAAGCTGCTCAGCTGGCCTCTCATGCAGTTGAAACTGAGCTGGACAAAGTGAGCATGATCAACCACTGGGCCCACAGCCCAAGCACCGGACTGGAAAAAACATGAGAGAGTAGACTGGACAGACTCTACCTCAAATCAGGGCCATTTCAGTGTGAGAAATAAGAGATGCTTTCCCTGGAACCGATATTGGGCAAGATACTGATGGGTCTTCTTTTAGTAGTTCCAATTCCGGGGAAAATTCCAGAATCTGAACTAGATCCTTAGTTGTTGTTTCAGTAGGAGTGACATGTACAGTGAATAGCTGTTTGATTGAGATTCTCAGAGCTGCTCCTGACACAAGACAATGAGGCAAAACTTCATACTCAGTCTCCCTGAAATTCAAGTTATTCTGCTTTGCTTTAGCCAAGAGGAAAATGGTAATCATCTGCCAACACTGGCAAGAGTAATTAGGGCTGCTGGAAAAATCTCTTTAAGGAAGTATGCGAATAAGGGTAAAAAAAAAAATCTTTGTCATTATTTTGGAAACTCTGAATTTCTAGACTGAAATTCTGAGATCCCTAGTTATTTCTTATTCAACCCCATATTTTACTCTTGATGAAACTAAGTTTTAAGTAGATAAGGTATCTTACTGAACATCACACTGCTAAGTTGCAGAGCTGAGACTAGATCTAGCTTATCATCAAATGTGTGGTCTTAGAGAACAGATGGCCAACCAGCCATGATTCAGCACTCATGACAACCCGAAACAGTACCTGAACAGTACCTTTTATGATGGGTGGTGTGTACACACTCTGCTTCCTTTGCTTAGGGGATGCATTCTGAGACTGTGGAGAAAGAGAAAAAAGTAAAAGCCTTAGATTTGCCTACAAAATACGATGCCATCAGACCGGTGAGGGAAATAAATACTGTGCCGTGTTATGAAAAGCTTTCTGATTTCTCCCTGTCATGAAATAGACTCTAATTAATGAGAAATTATATACACGTTAGTGATATCACAGACTTAAGAAATATATGGAGTTGTAGGGTCTACTTAATCATAAGATTCCTCATTCACGGCAGCCTTGAAATCATTTTACTTTCCTACCTAATAACATTAATTTATTTTTAAAAAGGAAGAGAAAAAGAGACACCAATCCTTTTCATTTGAGAGAAAAAAACAGTCTGAGTTCCATGACAAAGTATATTCCAACACAGGGAATAATACTATCTGTTCGTGGGGTTACTGAGTGATTCAAGGGGGACAATGAGGATCCTTGGAAAGTAAGAGCAGTCTATAGCCATCTTGAATTGACATGTTCAACTATTACCTCCAGTTACTTGAAATTGTAACGTTGAGGTAACATTCTTCATATGTTTAAAAGATAAGTCCTTTCCTAAGAAAACTGCTGTGTGACACTCTTACCTAAGCATTATTGGATCGGGATAAAGTTATTGAAGGAGAGATTCTGCATTTCAAAATGACAAAAAATAAGAACTTATTTCAGGATCAAAATACAGATAAGGATACAGAGCTCTATATAATGGATATACATATTATTCGTTTAATAAATTATATGGTCTAACCCCCAACTGGAAAATGCCAAAGACTCCATTTTAATAGCATGTTGATTTATGTTTTAATGTGGCAAGGGTACAGGTCTTAATCAATGAGTTTTCGCATCTGGGGCAATTACTTTTGCTTTGAAAAGCTCAAGTGTAAATAGTTACAACACACTTTTTGAAGATTGTTCCAGGCTTGCTATGCACATTAGGAAGAACATAATGTACAAGGTTTGAAAGAAACTAGAAACTGTTTTACAAAGTTGTAAACAGAGCTTGAGGCATCTTTCCTTGTGCTTACTAAAGATTAACTGCCCTCAAAGGTATCATCAAGATGTTGTTTATCTGATGCAGAAGCAATCAACTGAAAACTAAAACTTTCAACAAAACAGTTACCAAATCCATATCAGATGAGCAAATAGTATAAGCAAATTTCTCCAGAATAGAGTTCTGTGATACCCACATACTATGCACAGGTATAGACAGGGTGACTCTACATTAATGTTAAATGTGTGGATGATTGACATTTCTGGGGCACTTACACTGTTTCAGTCACATCTGGCTGGTTTTGAGAAGCAATCACTTTAGGAATTTTTAATGTTTACTTCCACACACATATTTAAAGATCAACTAGAAAATCAACTCTACAGAAATTTTTTGTTGTTGTTGTTTAGTAACACAGTGTAAACTTACTAATAAAAAGTACTTTGTATTTATGTAAGAGTTTAGTTTTCAAAGCATTTCCACTTTCGCTATCTCACAAAATTTTCAGAAAAGTCTTGTGATACACTATTTGATATTTTGCCCATTCTACATTTTTCTCTTTAAGTATTGCTGTATGCCTACTCCTGCGATCAAGGGAATTGATTAGTAACTGTACAGCATCCTATTCAATATTCATTTCATTTCTGGGAACTAGTTTATTCACTTTGTGTTTCATACATTCTCTGTTATATACTCTCCTAACCTCTCCTGGTTCCTATTTTCTATATAAATTCCTACACATGTACGTGGGGGGAATAGTGAGTGACAGTGTTCAGACAGCCTGCTGAATTTAAATCTGAGTACATTTCTAGGTGAACCCCTTGGATCTAGTTACTCAGGCTTTGGAGGACTTCAGTCCCCCTAGACTCTGGCCTCAGACTTTTGGTTCCACATACCAGAAGACCCTTTAAGAGGTGTCATCCCTCCACCCTCATCTCCTTGCTCTGGGATTCCAACATTACGTGGCTTAGCCTGTGGTGTGTATATATAATCACTCAATAAATTGAAGTTGTCAATACCATATTTTGCCATTAAAAGTGATGTTTTATTTTAAAAGTTTTTTCAGGGGTTAGCATTACATAGGTAGAGAATAAAGGTAACCGAGAGGCAGAGATTTTAATGACACTGTATTACTGTTTATTCAGTCAGAAGGAGCAATCTAAAGTTTTATTACAGTTGTATCATATTATTTATATCACATCAAATCAAGCAAATTTTTGCATTTTAATTGATTTGAACACATTTATACAAAAATATTTTTAAAAACTTACTTCCCCTTGTGTGTTGGGCACCCTCTTGTCATCTATTTCTGTAAGAGAAATAGGTATAATGTATTAGGCATGTAATATTCTTTCTTGTAATACATATATTAACATTTTCAACAACACAGATAAAAATGTTTTAATAATTGCCTTATACAGAAACTATAGCTTACAGCTAGGAAGGAGAGGAGGACAGAGGTGAGTGGTTTCCTTCTGATATAACCTTCTCCCAAAGGTTTAAAAAAGGTATAGAAAAAGCTTTCTTCTTGACATCCCAGATTTCTCACCTTTCAGCAGTTCAGAAAGGGGGCCAGGGAAGTGACTCTTGGAACAAAGTTAGGTGTCATCAGCCTTACACTTAAGGTGTCAGCATCCTCCTCTCCTCATTGATTGTGCTGCTGCTGCTGCTGCTGCTGCTATCCATTAATGAGAGTCTTTGTCAAATTTCCTCAAGTTTGTCACTACCCAAATCAAATCTCCTTTCCCACTCAGTCCAATCACTATGACTACAAGGAAGGCAGTACCCTCTCTAGATATGTATCTGGAAAGAACTAATTGCTCCATCAAATATTTCTTATGACAGTGCTTGGGTGGCTTCTTATGATTGTGCTGTGTATGAAGGGTTGTGTGGAGTGGTGAGGTGGAGGAAGAGATGCTTACACATGCCCCTTCCACAGCAGGAAGATGTTCTGGGCTGGGTTTCTTTTTCACTTTGTCACCTACATTGTATGGCATCTGCCTCTTGGCTTCTTGACCTAGTTCCCCTTTCCTGATCCTTATGCTAGGCCCAAGGCTCAAAGACTAACCCCATGATCCAAAAACTGAATGAGAAGTTCATCAAAGAATATCTGCTTAAAGACAATGATGTAGATCTGTATTGACATGAAAATATATGCCATGTAAGTGAAAAATATTTCAAAACTAAATGAATGGTATTTTTATTTAATAAAGGATAGATATATGTAGATAGAGTGATACATATATGCATAGAAGACTATCCAATATATTAACTGTAGTTATCCTGAGGTGACTGAATAACATATTCTGTTTTATCCCTAACTGTACTGCTTTTCTTTTCATAATGAGCATGTATTACTTTTATAACAAAAAGCAGTATATGTATGTATGTGGATATATACACACACAAATATATACATATATGTAGTATAATTTCTCCATAAATCCAACCATGCATGAAGTTGGTATTTCATATAGTAAGAGAACAAACTGACTAAACAGCTAGAATGGGAATAGTATATGGAACCATCGTTTATTCTAATCTGATATCTTGGTTACTAAATGTTAAAAAGTTATGGAAACTTCTGATAAATTGTACTTTCTTTATATAAGGGAGGACAGACAGTTTAGTGTGGCAATCACAAGTGTCTGATGCAATAACTGTAAGTATGTGGGGCATTTTCAGGCAGCTAAGAATATATTAAATTGAACAATCCTGTCTGCAACATTTTTTTGCTATCACAAAATATCAAATATGATCCACTGTAACAATGTGGTACTGTGATCCATTGGATTATTAAATACCAGTGGGGTTTCTTAATATTTTGCTTTTGATTAGGAATTTACAAAATCCAATCCAGGACCTATAACTTTATGTTTTAGAAACACAATGGGATCTGATCATTCAGATTTTTACTTTTCCTACTGTCTCACTACAACATCCACTAAACCAGTGTTTTCCCAAGGCAACTATGAGGGCTTCACTTATTAAATATTTCAATGAAAAAACGTTTGTTCTGTTGTTGCTGTTGAGTTATGCTTATTAAATTATCTATGTTGCGAAGGCAAGGATTGAAAAAATCAGTCTTATATTCTTGTCTTGAAATTGAAAAGTGAAAATTAAATAACTCACTTTTCAGGTAACATTGACTCAGACAAAAGTACAAGGGAAGCCAACAACAGATCATAGTTTTCTTGAGATTCACTGATTTAAATGTATTTCTATTTTTCTTAATAGATTGTTACTAAATTGGGGAGGTTAATGTTTTCTGCTTCCCAAGAAGCTCATATAGACACACATGCATGCACACACACACACTGTGCACATCAGCACATGCAATGGGACCACAGACCACCACAAATACAGTTTCTCTCTAATTTGTACCAAGAAGGTTATAACCAAAGGAGAAGACTCCCAAAATATATGCAAGTCTTGCCAGCTCTTTACATAAAAACATAAAAATGTCCTCAATAATATCTCTTTTCTTTTTCATCAGGGCCTCAAATTCTGACCCCATTGGCAGTCTCAGAAGTCTTTAGGAAACTGGATAGCACATGAAACATAAGAATATACCCCTGTCTTCAAATATTGTTTAGCTCTCTCATCAAACCAGAAAAAAAAAATACTATTTTGGAGTAGGGTTGAACAAAATCAGTTTGTTAGCAGATTATCCATTATCAAAAAATATAAATTTTCTGAAAGAGGCTTTTGTAGCTACTCCAGCCATATCTTGTCTATATTTCTCCATTTCTCAAGGACCACTTAGTCTGAAAGAAGAAATTTCTTGGTTTGGAAGGAAAATGTAAAACTCATTTAAGTAAAACATTTTAAGAAATGTTGTCATCATTAAAGATGAAGATAGAAACAGAAATTTCTGTTTTGAGTATTGATTAGTTAGAATACTCTTAAGATATTTAAATTCATGAAAGGAACAGGACAATGAGAATGCATGTGGATACACACATAAACTATAAACACCCAGAGTCTCCTTGTCTTAGTCAATGATATCTCATTCAATTTTGGAAAACTAGTTGTAATAAAAAATTAAGTGCCTACAAAAATGAAGTGTAAGAGCAAAGGAAACACGAAGAACATTGTCAAAAAAATAAGCAAAAGTCAACTATAATAGAATGAGAACTGTAAGTACTAAGAAATGGGCAGAATGCACAGACAGAACACTAAGGAAAACCTAAAGAGCCATGGTTGAGGCTGGCAGAAAAATCTGTCTTGGAGAAAGCACTGGAGAGCATACATGATATCTAATACTGTTTCTTCCATTTGTCTGTCGTGACCACACTTAAGCCACGTAAAATTCCTGAAATTCAGAGTTTTCCTCATGTGTGAAATGGAAAAGAGGAGGAATAATAATTCTGACTCTGCCTTCCTCGTTTTCTCATAGTTTGTTTTGAGGAATAAAAAAATGAAAAAATGAGAGCACAATTTCCCACTCCTTAAGTACAGACTATAACTTCCTTCCAAAGAGTGCAGTATGGAAAAGGAGCAGGAGGAAATGAGTCTCTTTATGGTGGGGAAACTTAATTCTGCCAGGTGACCAAGGTCAACACAAGTCATAATTTGTGTTGATCCCTTGATATGATGCTATGAAGGTGGGACTTTATATCAATGAGCCTCCTCCTCAAACCACTTAAGCCCAGTCTAGTCATGAGAAAAGCATCAGATAAATTCCAAGACAAGGGCATTGTACAAGATTGCTGACCAGTACTCTTCAAAACTGTCAAGGTCATGAAAAACAAGAAAAGTCTGAGAAATTGTCATAGCCAAGAGGAGCCTAAGGAGACATGATAATTACATGTAATGAGGTACCCTAGATGGGATTCTGGAACAGAAAAAAGGGCATTATAAAATTATCTCAATAAACTATGGATTTCAATTAATAAAAAATACATCATTATTGGGTTATTAATTGTAACAAATAGTAATGACTTAGAATATTAAGAATAGGAAAACTATGTGTGAGGAAGGTGCTACATGGGACTCAATGTGCCCTCTGTTTAATTTTTCTGTAAATCTAAAACTCTTTAAAAATTAAGCCCATTAATAAAAACATGAAAAATAAAAAATCACTAAATACAAATAAGTAACCCTAAGAGTACATTTTTTTCTTACTGTCAGAATTCTGTGTGTATTTTGAAGAGCAACAGAGAGTGATGATTAGAAAGCAGGCAATGTAACTAAAAACAAGGTCATGAAAATATCACTTCAAATTATTACATAGGGCCAATTAAACAGATACAAGGAAAGGCAAGAGTGAGCTTACAAAGAGAATATTTCAAAGTTTAGTTGAAGTTGTTGAAAGCTGATGCAAGTAAAAATGTGTTAGAGGAAAAAATGAGGAGTTAAACAATTTTCAAATAAGTCCATAATAATGGGAGCACTTTTCCTTGATTTATTTACTGACTGAATGTGGGGAGATAATGGAACAAAGTATAAAAGAAAATACCACTAGTATCTGTTTGATTATACATATCCCCCAGCTTGCTGCTTCTGTGCATTTATCCCCCATATCCAGAAAACTCCTGCCCTCATACCAAATACTACTATCCCTCAGAGTTCTGTTCAAATGGCATTTCCTCTGGGAAATCTTTCCCAATTCATGTCTCCCCTATGCTCAATTGGAACTCATCTCTTCCCCAACCAACACCCACAGCACTTCCTTTACTCCTGTCTCATAGAACTCATCACCATATACCCTATATCATGTCCATTAGTGTTTTTATCTCCCCAGGCAACCTGTAAAAGAATGAGGATTATCCTCCATGTTTGACTTTTCCACACCTCTAAGCACAATAGCAAAGCTGGCACACAATAACAACCTGTCAAATAAATTTATCTTAATGCCTGTGTTTCATAAAACCAGACCATCTGTTTGCTGTTTCTCTGTATTCCAAATTACAATAGTAGTGCAATTATTTGCTCACAGTAGGTGCTAAATAAATACTTTTAACAATTTTTAAGTGTTCAGTTTGCAAACTTTTTAAGGCAGAATCCATCACTTCCATTTTTAAAAATCATTTTACTAGGTTCAAATGCTACAGACACTCAAATTCTTATAAATATTGCCTAAGTAGCTCAAAGGGAATCTTAGAGGAAAAATAAGGATGTATGAATTCCCTCTGTTGGTTTCTAGAGATTGGGAAGATATCTATTTCAAGGACAATATGTATAAGACAAATTAAAAATAAGTGGTAGGCAAGGTCAAATCAGATATATAATTTTATAGAAACTAGCCTTAGACAATAACTAAAACCATGGAAATGAATAATTTATTCAGGATATTGGCTGCTAAAG